AACATGTGGTCATATTTAACCCATATACAAACCTACAACATTTGTTTTGTATTTTTGAAGGCTTTGACTATGAAGGAGTGTTAAACATGGGTAAAACAATACAAGGCAATATAACAATGCAGACATAATATATGACTCACAGGGTTTTTTCCTAACTTTATAACTTTAAAGTTCAATACATGCTTATTAGCATATACCGGATTATTCACGGAGAGTGTCCTACTAGACGTTTATGGAGAATGATGTTCGTTACTTATGTAAGCGACTATGAGCTACCTATGTAAAATATTTTTGGCCATGCGGCGTTGCCAGATATACCCTTAACGTATATCAACTTTCGTTTTTTAAATAGAACACCCTGTATATTATTGCATTTTTAGATTCTGCGAAATATTTTGGAACTTTTTTATGTAACATGTACTATACCTATCTTGAATATTTTCCGAGATAAAAAATACTTTTTAAGAAATTTGGCAACAAATACCCCGATATATAATAATTTTTTTTTCGCAACCCGTATCGCCTAGAGGGGGTTCATAAGATAAGGCCCAATTGGTAAATGAGCAACTAATTTGTCATCTAAAACCAATTGCAATGAAAGCGAGTTAATTTATCTTTTAAGTACATTGCAGTATCGCGAGCAAATGGTAGTACCGGAGTTTTAGTCGCATTTAACCTTAAAGTATGTCTCCCACTATAAGTAAAAATCCTGCTGCACATCGAAATTAATATCTGCTTCGACCTCAGCGTAATAGAACGGATCAAAAATATAAACAAGCTGGGTATCGTCAACATATGACTGAGATTTGCAAAATTGTGGCGGGGTACCCAAATGAAATATATACAGTAAAAATAATAGCGGCCTCAAGATTGATCCTTGAGTCATCGCTCCATACCACTTCACCAACTTTGAACACACCAGCTGTCGTCCTAACAACTTGTCTTCTATTTTGCAAGTAGTTGCAAAAGAAGGCCAGTGGACCGTCAAATAGTACAATTTAGCGTATAAAAGAGCATCAAAAGCTCAAGAAAAGTCGTTAAAAGTTTGTCATCTAAACTCAACAAATTCGATCCGTCACATTCAATAAAACTGTTACAATAATGTGTTATTTTTAACAAATTCTTAGAACTGTAAGTAGACAACACGCTACAGAACCTTGCTCAACACGCGTAGTAAGCTAATCGGCCTTAGATCATTAAGCGATTCCGAACAACTTAGGTAATTTAGGAGTGGGACACACAGCAGCGGTTTTCCAGCAGCCTGAATTGACAATATGGGTTATATGTTTAAGTAAGTTTTAATATTAAAAGTGAAATTTCAACTACTGACTTTATTTCGTCAGATGTAGAGAAGTGAAAGTGAAACTCAGAAGCGTTATGTCGCGTAATCTGAAAGCAGTTGATCAATTCGGCATCAGTCTGTGTCCCCGAAAAAGCCACACGAAGATGTTTATTTAGCGTCTCACAATCCTGCATGTTATCTGGTAACTCCGGTCTTGATTGAGTGGCTATATGTGCAGATTTCAAACGTTTCCACAGAGTCGACGCATCCTGATACTCCACATACCTAAGATACGCCGCTTTTTCTCATCTAATGTCGGAATATGCTGTTCGGAAATTATGTGCAGAGGAGTAGTAGGTGGTCGACTAGTCAAAAAATATGTCTTTCAATCGAGCGTTGATAAACTATCACCATAATATGAAATGTAATATGCTTCAGTGGTCTGGTACCCCATCTATGATTTCCATACTGATAAAACGAAAAGAGTTCATTAGAAAACCTGGCGGCCTTCGGCATTTATAACAAGTATAAATTATTAAGGACCGCACAGACGCTCAGTTTTTTAGCACAGGCCAACTGTGCAGGCCAATTTGCGCAGTTTAACTGTACTATTGCCTGTCCCACACACACGCAGTTTTATAGCACAGTTCTTTCTATACAGCCAACTGCGTAAATTCACACTCACTAGTTTTGGCACGGTTTTTCTATACTTAGTAAAAGAAAATGGCTTCTCGAGACACGGCATTATATTGCATTGTGCTTGCCTGTGCAATAAAGAAAAAGCAAAAAAAGCAACGGTTGGTTCAAAGAAACAATTGGACCAAAGATTGGACTTTTTTGACTGACCGTATTAGTGTTTCAGTAATATTCTATTACCTTTATTCCATGTTCTTCATCGTCTAGGTTACTCGTTGAGGCATGTGGTGTCTCTTGATCACTTGAAAAGATCAGCAATTCATAATACCACAGGTTTGGAGTATAAATATCTTCTGTACTGGCCCCACTTACTTTGCTTTTCAATACTTTTTTTAATTGTTTCCTTAATGAACTCCTTAATTATTTATTTTTTAACCACGCCTTCCCTATTTGCTCCCGTATCAACTTCTTTGAGTTTTTCGACCAACACATCATATGCTGTATTCTTTACTCTTTACTTTCCATAAACATGGTAAGCTTTCGTATACTTCAATAAATTCGCTTAAAAACTGTTTGTTAACATTCGTCATTTTGTTGCTTACTATTTTTGGATTCTAAATAAACCTTAAAACTGAACAAATCAACTGAACGAGTCCACACACGCTCAGGTTTCCAAGTTTGCGCAGGCTAAATTCAAGCACGCTCTGATTTTGCCCAGGCCAGGCCAACGGCCTGCGCAGTCGGCCGGACGTTCACACAAACGCACCGATATGCCTGCACAAACTAGGTTTGCACATGCGGCCTGTATTAAAAAACTGAGCGTCTGTGGGCCTTTGCAGTCCAGTAGCTGAAACATTTGAGATGGTGTCATTGGTGGAACGTAAATTTTTCTCTGATAAATCATCTTCTTTACTGTCCCGCAACATTGCAAAATGTCAACTTCAATACTATTAAAAGAACTCGGCATTTTTCTGTTTTCCGTTTTATTCCGACATTCTAACCTGATAGTCATTAGAACAGAATATTAATGTTGTTTAATACAGTTTCGGTGATTTTAAAACTCTTGTTAAATGATCACTTATGTGAGTTGTGGTTTTTGCTAAATGTTCACTTTGTTTTCAGTTGTACACTTTGTTTAAGGTCTGCTTCTATCCTATCTATTAGTTTTGGATTTATTCCGTCATCCTAACTTAAGTTTTAAAATATAGTGGTTATTTTGTAATTGTCAGTTGTAAAGCCGTTAAATAAGTGTATGGCAATAAAAATGTAATTTATTTCGGAATGGCAGCGCAAATTTAAGAAATAGATTTTTTGTATTGTTAGTCATTGCTGAACCAATATAGGAGCTTTTTCAATAAGAAGAATAAATTTAGATTCTGCTATACACTTTATAGAATATACATATACATATGGAATCTATAATTACAATCAATTAAGTTGAGAGAAAGCTTAATAAAATTAATTATTAATGCTACACATTTGTAAACTACAAAATAGTATATTGTGGGAAAAATTTTATAGACTTTTATCACTTGAGTGGTTAATGAACGAGTGAAGTGAAGCTTCTCAACGTAAGTTTGAGGGCACATTTTTTCAAACCAGCGCGAATACAGTCACAGACTCATGTGTGACGTGACCTTCAGAACTGACAAAAGCCAAGAACTATGGCGTCTCAAATGGAATTTTGTCTTTGACGGACCGCAGATGTTGAGAGATTTTTGGACAAGTGGTAAATCTAGTTTTGACGTTATTTTTTGATGGAACATTTAATATCTTTAATGTGGAAATTATTAGAGAGAAGAGCAGAGGTAAGGTGTTTTAATTCTGTTTTCAGTGACTCTGGTTGAGATAGTTTTACGGCTCTGTAAACAGGAATGTTGATAACCGATGATTTTTGGGCCGGATGGTGATGTGACCATGCATTAAGGTATTGGTATGTGTGCGTAGGTTTTCTGTAAACACAACGAACCAATGTTAGATCTGATTTTGTATTGATAAGAATATGTAAGAATGGCAGGTTATTATTAGCTTCCAACTCAATGGTAAAACGTATGTTAGGGTGTATCGAGTTTAAATGTCTAAGAAAATCTACTAGGGTTTCTTGACCATGCGGCCAAATAACAAAAGTATCATCGACGTAGCGTTTCCATAATTTTCATTTTAGATGAAAGGTGTCGAGAGCTTTCTTCTCAAAGGCTTCCATAAATATATTCGCGATGACTGGTGATAGTTAAGAACCCATAGCTGTTCCCGACGTTTGTTCAAAAATTTGACCGTTATAAAAACGTGACGTGACCTTGAGAACTGACAAAAGCCAAAAACTATGGCTAAAATCTACGGAAAACATCCGATTGCTTCCAAATCCGTGACTAACATACTGCACATGTCCGAAATGATTGGCTACCGTAGGTAACAAAACTGACGTCTTGACGTAACACTTTAGGCACGCTCATTCAGTACGTAATTAGGGAGTAGAAGAAAATTACATAAAAGAGAAAGTGTATCCTAGGAATCTTAAAAAGAACATACAGAAGTATCTTAAAAACATGTCAACATGTGGAGTAAAAAAAACGTACGAAAAGAAAATGTTTCATTCACAAGAAATACATATTGAGTTATTCAAATTTTTGGTAGACTTGGGAATAACCAATAATTGACGTCACTACTCAAAAATAATCTTCCGAAAATAAACAAAATACTTTGTCATGCGCTAAGTTACGGTTAACTTGATCTAAGGGTGAAACTTGTCCTTAAGTGATGTGTCCTAAATTTAACAAAACTAATGGAATCCCCCAAAAATAAAATAAGAACACAAATACGGAGCATAATCCCGAATAATTGGGGTACCGTGCCCGTCCGCCTTTATGTCACGCCAACAAAACTCTTGAAGGTCTGACGACGACAAGATGGCCTACTTTCTTCGCTTTTCTCTCGTCCTCTACCCAACCTTCGACACATTTTTTCCGGTTATTCCGGGAGAGATGTGTACCATCAATCATAACCCTGACAAAGGTGCCGAAGCTTGGGCAACTTCGGCTGAACGAAAAAAGGATTTTTTTTAATGAGTAATATTTATTACCTGCAAAAATTATCGCATCACTTATAATAAAAAAAAAATGTTTTTGTATCGCTGTATTATTTTTTAGTATTAATTTACATGTTGTGGGTTTGAAATGTAATAAGCAAAAAGTTGTGCAAAAAATAAAGCGCACAATAGTTCATTGAAACAAAACTTTAATTCTTCAAAAATGCGATTAAAATAAAAATGTTTAATATCGCGAATCTACTTTACGAGCTTTTAATACTGCCTAAATGCGCCTCGCAAGTCCCTCAAAAAGATCTCGAATGGACTTCTGTGGCATTTCTTCCGATATTCAAAAAGGCATATATTGAAGTTGGTATACGCATCTGCGATCCCATTTGGTTCCAGACTTGCTCAATGGGTTTTAAGTCAGCGCTTCTTTCTGGCGAGCTTATGGCAGTCATGTTAACTTCCTATAGGTATTCGCTTATAATTCTGTCTGCGTCCGGTAGTGCGTTATCTTACATAGAAATGCAATTTTCCTCTATATAAGATCCCAAAAGCTTCAACAATCTCTCTTATGTATCGATCAGCGGTTAACCTAGATGAGCCTCCTACCAAGCAAAGCTCTCCATCTGAATAAAATTGCACTGGAAATTACTTTCTTCAGATCGTCTATCTGAGGCATATAAACAGAATCTGAACTCATCTGTAAAGAGAATATTTGACCATTTGCGCTTACCATTGGACGTATATTGTGTTCTCGGAGATGAGATCTTACAGTTTGCACCCGTCCCAAAGTTCAGCTTGCAACATACTTGATGTACAATGCCTTACAGCCGTAAGACATCAACACGAGTGTAATTCAGTGGCGACCTTGTCCTCCCCCTTCTAATATACTTCCCTGTTTTGTGGTACGTTCCTTTGACTTCGGCCCGCCTCAATGGATTCTAACTGCTAAGATGATTTGGAACTTCCATAACTTTACACAAATTTACTTAAATTAAACTGCAATATGACAGTATTCTGGGATTTTACTTTTTTTACACAAAAAAATGTACAATAAACAAACCGCTTCGTTTCATTTCTTATCGACTTCTCACTGTTTGCAAATATGTAATATATGCATAGCTGTTACCGTCGCGGAGAATTCAGAACCAGAATAAAAAACGCCACTCTAAGCTCGCTCTCCGAGCCCACTCTTCTTTAAAAGACAGTAGCTAAGTGCATATTATAGAAGCAGTGTACGCGACAATATTTTACGATGGAACTGGCATGCTGCAGTTTGTAATTTTTGCCCTTAGGTAGGTAGTTGAAATTTGTTATAGAATCTGTTTCAATGGTGTTTTGTTTTAATCAAAGAACTTACTTCATGCTTTTTACTTCGGAGTTCCAATGATCATAAACAGTTGCGATTCTCTTATTGAATACGGGGACACGCACTTTTACACTATTTTTAAAAGGCAAAAAAAGTTTGTGTTTTGCTGGCAGGTGAATATTTATTAATTCAGCTTATCAGCCGCTTATCTTAATGTAAACATTGTCTTTGATAAAAGTCACTTCCCGTTTAAAATTCTAGTGCGTTACCACATACAACTTAATTTTTATAACATTTACATTTCTTAAAGGTTTACGGGAAAACAAATAGGTATTTGGTGAAACAGTGACGATGCCATCGTACGAGACGAGAATTAAAATTGAATATAAACCTGTCAGATACGTAAAAGTTGGAACAAGGCATGGTAAGATCGCAAAGATTGTGATATTATGCTTGGGCTTGGGTTGATTTCAAATAAATAAGGGAATATCGCTTATTAAAAACGAAAGTGAATGAAAATGTAAAAGTGAATGAATAAGAATGGAAAATTATAAAAAAACACAAAAATTACACGAAAACTGATCATTAATTAAAAGAAATTTTCATACCTGAAAGCGATGTTCTTTCAAGATGACAATGTTTGCAATTTGGGTCAGAAAAAGAAAAAAACGCCTTTATTTTTTATGCGTGCTGACGCAAACACATAAAATTCCCTTTAGCAAATAATAAACAATGGCGGGCTGGCAAACAAAAAGCAATGTACGAAAGAGAAAACGTTGCGACACATTACTTTTTCACATTTAGTGGTTGTATGTTTTATGGAGGAATATCTCAACCTCTTCTCGCTGAAAAAGTCGTAAAAATTGTTTCAGGGTTTTATGGGTGCTTTACTTTGAAGTGCCCTTTTTTTAATATCTTTAAAAAGTCGTGGATTATTCTTATGGAGGCAATTCTAACCTATAAGTTTATCTCAACGCGAGACTTTTTTATTTTATTCCGATATTTCAAAAAGCATTAAAAATTTTGAATTTTAGTGAGATAGAAAACCGGATTTCACTATGTTCGAACAATGTTCTTGCCATTTTTGACGGCTCGCAAAAAAAGAAATAGCCATTTTTTGGAGATTTGATGCACTATTTAAAATAATTATTAATGATAATCAATTCTAAACCTTTTTTTATTGATTTAGTTTGCAAGGTTATTTGGTTAGTTTTGGTTGTTGTTGCATTTAGCTTATTTGGTTAGTTTAAGTTAGTTTGTGCAATTAATTAAGCGAAAGGCAACAACAAACTAATCGAAAAAAACGAAATAAGCAGACTAAACGGATAACAACGTTCGTTTTGTTTAAAAATTAACCCTTAAAATTTACATGACAAACAGAAAATAAATAAAAAATAAAAAATAATGGTAATATATAAAAAAAATAACGCTCAGGGTAAGTAATAAATTCAATGAATACGCAAGGAGCAATCTCAGTAATATGTAATAGAAATTCTATTCGTAATAAGACCTTAAAGGCTCCAAAATTAGTATTTAGTAAGTCTATATATAGTACTATCACCTTTGACAATATCATCATACAATCTTATAAAACTTAGAGGCGGAGAGTTAGAAATCCGGTATACTAAAAGTAAGTTTGTTCCGGACTACTTTCCACACTCTTTCCACTCTATCCACGTAATTGTGGTACATCGGACCCCAAACTTTTCACGAATACTTCAGAAAACTTCTTAGCATACTGCAAGATAATGTAATTAAAGAAGCTGTGTTCTTAAAGCTTTTGAGTACTTCTCAGCATAAAACGTAATGATGTCTATATGGAACTCGAACAATAGTTTAGAGTTCGGAATAACTCCTATATCTTTAACAGCGTTGACAAGTTTTAATAGTATCTTGTTTAATTTATAATTCACATTGGGATTCCTCGAGAGGTTCAGCTAGAGAAAACTATTTAGTGGCATTTATCAACATTTAAGTGGAGCCGATTCAGTGCTCAGAAAATCTTTTTAAGTTCGATTGCAAGTTTACTATATCTACATTCGAATTAACGACAGTAGAAGTCTTCAATTCATCAGCATACAATGAATACGTACTGTGAGTGTTCGGAATACAAGCCCCTATATTGTATAGAAATAAAGCAAAAATCAAGGGGCCCAAGTCCGGGAAAGCCATATTTCCTTAATTTAAGCTTAAGCTCTAGAAACCTCCCCTGCAGACCGAAATTTTCAGGTTTAGCAGCTAACGAAGGGTGAACCTAGTCAAAGGCTTTGGAATAGTCGGGATGATTACGCAAACATCACCACCATTCTCCATTGCCTCATAAGTTCCCTGAACGAAAGGGACAAGATTAGTCAATGTTTTAATTAATTTGATAGAACAATAGTTCCAACAAAACAGACTCAAAAGTTTTTCCAAGATTACGTGGTAAACAAATCGGCCGGTAATTCGCCACATTCCTTCTGATTAGTTTTGGTTAGTTAGTGAAAATCCTGGAGACAGACTCTTATTAAATAATATGTGCAATGGTTTACTTAAGCTAGAAGAAGAATTTAAAAATATCGAAGGGATACCAGAATGGACCAGGTATTGAAAAAAAATCCAAAAATAAAAAATGTTTAAAATTTCCTTTCATTTTCATTTTATCAAATAGGCGAAATTAATTCGCTGAAAAATATTTTTCCATTATTTATTAATAAAAAAAAATTCTGTAAGAAATAAACAGTGCAGAAGCTGTAGTATGTTTAACGATATGATTTTTGCCACTTACCCAAAATTGTGGTCACAATTGCTGTTTGAATTGGCCATTAATTTAGTTGCGGTGCTTTTGGTGATTTTTATATGGAGGATTCGCGGAGTTTTGTTTTTGCCTGATACTAGTATCCAATAATTGCGCGTTAGAGAGTCGAATTTAGAGGATGCCACAAATTTTCCGGTTATTTTCCGGAACGCTGCGTTCGCTAGACGGGTCGATTATCCTTTGTAAATGAGTGGACGAGACAGCTGGAAGTTGGAGAAAATGCTTAGCATTCCGACGTGCGTATTCTCTAATATCCTGGGCGCTATATTTCGAGGTCAAATAAATACGGACGGATCTTTTCTAGCGAATTATTATTTTCCATCAACTCAGACCGCGGGACGTTAATAAGGAGAATTTGAATTTTACCTTTCCGCGTAATAAGTAAAGTTGGAAACCGCGGGTAATTTAATTTCCGGTAGAAGGGGCAGATTCGAAACTCGGAGTGTACCTACCTTTAACAGTATTTATTTTTTTTTGTGCTCTAGGGAAAATTCGCCAAGCTTAAATTTAAAATTCGGTATCTGGAAAACTTCGGTCTGCTTTTTCAAATATTTTTGTTATTATTATTACAAAATTTAACTAGATATTAACTAAACATAATCAAAGCTGTAAGCATATATAATATTAAAGTTGAAAAATAAGATTTACTTTGTTTCGCTTATATTTCATATGTAGTTGTTTTTACTTTCTTCTGGAAAATACCCAATTATACACGGATCTAGCTTGCGGAAAGTATCATTTTGTCATGTCAGTTTCCCATGGATTCAAGCCACTTCGGACATTTCCGGACACGTTTGGTCAATTTTTTAGTTTCTCGTGTATAAAAACTTCGTGACTCAAATGCCGTTTACCACACTTGTTGCACTATATACTATTAATACGTAGTTTTACCAACTTAATTATAATAATCCAGTCTCAATGAGTTTTTGCCAATGTTGTTCTTCCTGGCAAAACCAAATATTTGAGGGGGATTTCATTGTCGTAATTTAGTGCACAGAGTCGTAGTGGAAATTATACTGGTAATTAGTGAAATTATACCGATATTATTTGGTAACTTAAGGAAATGTGAGATGTAATTAGGAAAAATTTTGTGGTAATAAGTTGTTCATTAATGGGGTAAATTATGCTGGAAAGGTTGACAAGAAAATGAATAATGCAATTTGTGTTCTACCGACTGCGCTACACTTGCTTGTACTTATACCCAAATGGTATGGGGGTTCAATATCATACTTCAGAATGATATTTTGGCCGTTGGACTATTATTATGCTAAGTTGTCTAGTTTGATTGTTCAAATTTTTTGTTTTCGCGGTGTAGGTTATGTATTTAATAGAATATTGCAATAGTAATGTCAGCTGTAATTAGTGTCAATTTTTGGTAATTTAGTGTATGAAGTGAATTCGTGACGTAATTTCTGATAGAAGTGGTAATTCAGTGTATACAAGTCCACTACCGAAATCAATGTTATGTTTTTTATTACAACAAAAAATGTAAATGTATATTTCCTATTGCCTTTCAATACATTTAAACAAGTGAACCTGGCTTCGAACAGCTGTAATTAAATGATTGTGGCAATAAGTGTGTACGTTAGCTCTTGACCATTTTGATATGTGATTGTACGTATTGATGTTGTATTGATGTGTACGTACGAAATGTGCTAATATTAATTATAATCATCTTTATTTTTCCAATAAAGAAAAACATACAATTTCATAAGAGCCCCTCTCGATTATAGTTACAAATACTGTCTAAAAGAAGAGTGTTTACGAGAATAACCTATATAATCATCCCGATCAAAATCATATCCAGTTATAAAATAGCCTACACGAAAGAATACGGAAATTAAAAAAAAAATCTATTTGGATATTTTAAATGTACATTGCAGTTAATAACCCAATTTGTCATCACACATGGCTGCATGGGACTTTGATAATAATTTTCCTCTCGTTGATGTTCTTGTCATCTAGATATAATTTAATAAATAAAATATTTTAAATCGTTATTTATTTAATAGAAGCAAAATCATTGTGATTTTGGTGATTTAAGTGGTAATTTTCAAAATAGATATTGTTAATTTTTTATAAAAGAGGTAATTTAACGTATATAGGTCTACTATGGAAATCTCTCTCACAAATACTTGTCATTCTATTTCAATACAAGTCATAAGAATGTTAACTTATTTATTAAAAATATAATTATTTTGAAGAAGTGTGAATAGAAATCAAACAATATTAGTTAAATTAAATTGTTTGAATTTTGAAATTTGAATTTGTATATTTACTATTGCCTTTTAAAGCACGTAAACAACTAAACCCGGCTTAGCACAGTTGAATTTATCACATTATTTCACTCACGTTCAA